GAAACAAAACTTCCAGAACACGCCCACACAGCCCGGAAGACCCACACCAGCCATTGTATGCCGGCCGTGAAAGCCTTCGACAATACATCACCTTAATCATTTACACATATTGTACATTCATTTGCACAAACACATCTAGCCGTTCTCCAACCTGCACTACAATTACCAAAAACTTATATAAGCGGGTTTTTGTTCATACACTATCATAAATACACCTGAATAGGCACATAAATGTCAGGCCAGTATAACCTATTCTGCCAATGTTTCTCCGAGGTCTTAGGAAGAGATCTTTCCTTGCTTTACTACACAGCTGAGTGCAAGATTTCTCAGCATTAAAATAGAAACCAATACCTATAGAGAACATTATAACTGGGGCGGGGGGGGAGTATAAATGTTAGTAATCACAGAAAACAATATGTTATTATTACCACCACATACAGAGAGACAATACAGACCAGAAGATATGGTATCTGGGTGGGAAGGCATAAACTTCCAGGCCTGGTTTGTACTGTATACTTTTAAGACATTAGCCACTAGCCCAGCATTACCTTGTAACAGGGAACAAAGCTTTGGCTTTTCTTTTGCTCAGGGCACATGGATGTCTTGCCTGGAGGAGTACGCTTTTGCAGACACACACAGAAGATTACTCCCATAGCTCTTCTCCAATGCAAACTGTGGGTTTCTTGCATGCTGTAGCCCCAAAATCAAGAACCCCCAGGTTGCCTTCTTTTACTGACTGTACCCGTTGGCCAGATCAAAAATACCATCACTGCTTTTCACCTTATTCAAGTGACTCAGCCCACTGCTGTGTAGAAAGCTATTTCCATGCCTCCCCTCTACCTTTCCACCTCCCCCTTTTCCTGGTCTGCTTATGTCCCATATGCTACACACTCAGCTGACAGAACTACATTTTTAAAATAGTGACAATTAGAGGATCCATCCATCACAGTCACTCTATACCACTCATCTTCCGTCTTGCATGTGTCCTCCAAATCTGCTCCTTGTTACGCAAACTTGACCTGAAGGACCATCAAGAAGAGACTGACGGTTGCAATACTTCGTACAGTGGAAACTGTCTGGATCTCCTTATGGAGCCGCAGAAATCATCTGGAGATACTGAGTGACTCAAACGCCACATGGTGTCAAGCTATTTCTGGCATTCTGGAAACAAAGGCAGGCCAGGCCAAGTCTAGCCAATAGGAGATTAAAGGGCGGGGGGAGGGGGGGACAGGGAAAAAAGGAAGGATTTCCTTGCAAACTCAGCCTTTAAGCTGTTCAAAAGTTATCCAACCAATTGTAGAGAAATCCTTAGGCTTCTCTGGTCAAACCTAGAAGACCATCTGAAGTCACAGAACTGCATGGGTGAGCTGTTTCAACTAACAACATTTGTAGTGGGAAATGTGGTAGGTCTCAGCATGTAAACTTTTAACAAGAAAAGTTCTGTTTTATCTCTCAGCTTTGTCTGGGAGGTGCTAGGACAGTTCTTGCACAAAGTACAGCTGAATGTTGCTCTTTCTGAGTGAACTTTGATAGAGGAAGTTGCTCATGGATCCACAGGGAAAGAAAGCATTCTGCTGGAACCAAAATGTACTAGCCTCCCATTATTTATCCTCAATTTTGAAATATGGCCCCTAGAATCAACAACTTTGCCTTATTCCAATTTAGCTAACTAAACCAGCTAACCTCTAATGCATTAATTAGTTAGAATATGACTCAGTGGCACATAATCAATCAGTGCATTAATTTTAGTCACTGGCAGGATAAGGAGCTTAAAATAAAAAAAGGAAGGTGAATTATGGGCTTGGAATAGATCAAAACAAATGTTTCACTTTGGAATTCCAAAATGGCTTCCCTGACCTTTTGAAACTTCTGCCCTCATTTTTGCCCATAGTAGCTTCAGCCAGCCAGCCTGAGCGTGCTGTATTTACAGAGTATATTCATATCTGCATGGCTTACAGATTAACTTATATATTTATACATTGAAAAAAACATGTAGATAGATTCATGTTTACAGAGAAATAAATTCTATTAAACTTCAAGGATTTACTTGTAAGTAAACATGTATACATTGTAATATATTATGTCACTTCTTTTTCCAAAAACTTTTAATTACTTTTACAAAGTAAAAACAAGTGAAATTAAAAAATAAAACATGATAAAATAACTGTAGCAGAACACCAACAATAAAATCTTGCACCAATAAACCAGGGAAGCAAAATCATTCAAGAGCCAAGAAAGAGTAATGATGTTTCTAAAACACTAGAAAGCTTGAGGTGGTAACAATAGTTTTCCAGAGGACAGTGTTGCTACTGCTTAGGATAAAGGGGTCTGACACTTCTATGCAAGTTTGGCCTGAGGTAAGAAACAATTTTTTCAAGCATCATATTCCACACACAATGCCCATTTCCTGACTACCCTCCCCCCGCCCCCAATTTGTAGATAAAAGAATGCATGCAGCCCTCACAGTGTTAAGTAGGTCTTTGGGGCTGGTTGTAATTTTAAAAAGTATGTTTCCCTTAACACTATATACACCTTGGCTGTTATTTTTAAAATCAAAATGTTGGGGTGGGGGAGCAGATAGAGTATTGTTTAACCCTTTTTTCTCTTGTCCCTTTATCTTTTCCTAGCCATATTGAGAAAAATAAAAAAGCCCCATGTCATAAAAAATCTGGTGCCTTCCTGATGTTTTGAACTGCAGGTTCCCAAAGTCCCTGCCAGTCAAGACTTGTTAAGTTGGCCCAAAAATCTGGAATGTACAGGATTGCACCATTATGCCTATATTATCACCCATATGGAAAAGGAAGCAAAGAAGTTATTTTAAATTGGAAAGAGCAGAAAATGATTAAATCCCTCTTTGCTATCTCTTACTTTACTCAGCGGCAGCCTGTCTCAAAAGGTTTGTTTTCTCCAAAAATAATTGCCTTGCCTCATCACCAGATTTGGAGGGAAGGACATATCCAGACTGTGGAGGTGGCAAATCCAGCAGCACTGATTCCCTAGCACCTCATGAGTTCCTGGTCTCAAGACAGCAGGTGTAGATAGAAAGTTAAGGGTTTACTGTGTGTCCTCTCACTTTGCCTCACTGTTTTTTGTCTGTCAGATTGCTTATGGAGTCCTCCATAATTTTTAAAAGTGGGAAGGGGCCCTGAGAGAAAAACGTTTAAGAAACACTGGTCTAGCACAACTGGAAGGCACTATGTTTGAAAAAGCTGCCGGGGGCGGCGTGGGGGGTCTGGTGGAAAGTCAGTTCCTGCTGTACAAGCTGAAATGTTTATGATTTTGGGACACAGCCATGTATGGCCTCCTTCCTGGGTACTTTCTCTTCTTCCCAGTCCAGCTTCCACCTCTGAGATTTTCTAGAGGTCGCCCATCCAAGCAGAAACAGATTCGACTTTCTCGAAAATACCAACTCCCAGTCGTCTTGGCTGATGCATTTTCCCACGGCAAGGCACGGTTAGCTTGTGGGCAGACAGTGCCTGATTTGAGAGGAAGGGCTCTTTGGCGGCCAACATTTCAGCATGTCCGCAATAGACAGAATGGGCAGCTTAACACAAGACACTAAGCCGCAATCAAAGCAATCGCACGAGGGAAGCCATCGGAAGGGAAGCAAACTGCTCCCTTCCGGTCTTTCCATGGTAGCGACCTGAAGAATTGGAGGGCGGGGCTACAGCTGACTACAGGGTCTGCGCTTGATGCTAACGATCAGCAGGGGGCGCCCAAACCCTCGGCAGCGAGGCAGAAATATTGGAATCCGAGATTGAAGGAAACGAAAGAACGGTACGCGGCCCGCTTCACGTGACCCAGACAAGGTCGCTAAAAGCTCACATAGTTCTCGGCTCCCGCCACAGCCGGAAGTAACTTTTCTTGCCTGTGATGAGGTAGCAACCACAGGAAGTCAGCCCTGGTTTTTGAAGCTGCGGCCCGACTGAGACGAGGAGGCTTTGGGAGGGGTCCGCGGACTCACTGGGAGTTGGTACGATGAGCGACGGGTCAGGGGAGCCGGCTGCGGAGGCCCCGCCCGCTACCGGAAGAGGGGTCCACATCGTCGTGGAATACTGGTGAGGGAAAGAGGTGGGCGGGAGGTGCCTGTGGGGGGTGGCCACGCCTACGCATAGGCTAGTCCCGCCCACCTATGGAGGCAGCAGTTCAGCGCTGCTGTTTTTCTCATCTGTTTTTTTAGCCCGTCCGGTTTCGCTTTAGCTGCTTTATTGCGGGCCGGGGAGCAGCCAGTTGTGTTTCCTTTCCCCCATGTTTATATTTTCTGAGTTTGCCCTTGGACCAGCACTGTTTATGGCAACGTTTCTCAACCTCAGCAACTTCAAGATGCGTGGACTTCAACTCCCAGAATTCCCTAGCCAGCATTCTGGGAGTTGAAATCCACGCATTTTAAAGTTGTTAAGGTTGAGAAACACTATTAATGGTACAGCACCCTTAACACGTGTTGTATTTTACAGAGTATCACGAACAGAATAACATTCCTCCCCGTGCACCTCACAAACCAGGTCTCACTTTAAGGGTAAATAACGGGGATTTAGTTCGGCTCTCCCAGGGCCTTAATGTTGGGATAATATTTGTTTACACGAGATTTACTTAGTCGATCTAAATTTTATCAACCTCGGAAGCTAAAGAGCTGCAAGTAGCTTGTGGAGTCTGGAATGGGTTGGAATTTAATGACAGAAGCTCACATAGTAAGCAAAACAATAGCATGACCTCTTATATTTTATGTAGTAATTAAAAAAAAAAATTGAATGTAGTCCCTCATTCCACAGAAAGGTGATGTATAAATGGTACACAGTCTTTGTGAATTCTTTATAGATGTCAATCTCTTGTGAACTGCTACATTGTTTTAGTGCTATCTTCAAAGTAATAAGCAGATGATCACATATAATAAAATATTTTATTGCCTCCACCCAACATTCACTTCACTCCCTTCTTAGATTATTCTATCTTCAACTTAACTTTGACACCATCACTGAATTTCTCTTCTCAGTAAGCCCTGTGGCTTTGAATCTGCCTACCTGGAGCTGGCAAATGCTGTAAAAGAAGAATACCCTGATGTGGAGATTGAATCCCGTCTTGGGGGCACAGGTATAATTTAACATATATGCTAATAAGCAGAAGCAACTAGCAAGATCTCATTTGTGGTATGATGGAATGAACCCACTGTGCCTATGAAATTAACATGTGCATTATAAACGTGTACATTAGAGGACCACCAGTCTATGGGTTGGCTGTACCCCTTGGAATTTTGGAGCTAGTCTACAATCATCCCTAGGAGTTTATTCATGTAAATTCATATTCATGTAAATTAAAGGAAGAGGAAGAGAGAGATGATGGTAGTAGGGAAGGAAAGATTAATTCTCTTGTCCCTGTTTGCTAGGTCACCCATGAAATCTCCTCTAATGTACCGTATATACTCATGGACAAGCTGAGAATTTTAGGTGCCAAAATACACCCCCAAAATTGGGTTCAGCTTATCCGAGGATGGGCTTACCTGCAAGTATATATGGTAGGTTTTTCCCTCAGCTTTTTAAAAATACCTGTATATCCTGTATATACTCACCTTCTGTGAATAAGCTAATTGTAAACATTAAAACATACAACATTTTGAGGGTTGGCTTATCCATGTGTGGTGCATTTTTCATGGTATTTTGCTTAAAAATTTGAGGGTCTGCTTGTCTATGGATGGGCTTATATACCAGTATATGTGGTAATAATTAGGGATAGGGAAAAATTCCAATTAGCAGAAGAGGATGAGAAAAAGAAACTGGGAAGTCCCCTACAGCTTTGGCCACCCACCCATTAGCGTATTCCTGTTGTCCCCAAATGATCTCTCTTACAGAAATGTGGCCCTTGGCATTAAAAGAAAAAAAGTTCACTGATGGGAAAAGTCTATCAAGCATGCTAAAGCCATAGAAACATTTTGTTTCTATTAGTACTGCTGAGGTTTTGTTACTGGAAGCAATAGGTTGCATTTTGATTAAATTTGTCATTTCACAATACTGTAGGCTTCAACATTTCTGTTTTGAGGAAGACTTTTCTACCCAAGCTTGTCTATCCCAGAGCCCTTGTATACCTCTGGATCCTCTGTTTGTTATAGATGATTAGGAGGTATGGAAGAAGTGTTCTTGGATATAATTAAGTTCATATAAAATTTTGGTAAGAAGTTATTCAGTTTCACTAATGAACCTGTATCCGAGCATGTCCCTCACATTTAGCATTTATCTGAACGCTCAGTGGCAATGGCCAATCTGTTGTTCAAATAACTTTCCACTCTTCCTGTCATTGCTGATCTTATTAAGAAATACCTGGTGAATGACTAAAGAACTCCATGTTCTAAGAAATATGGTTTGAAAACCACCTGCCCATTACTTTCTCTCCAGCTGCTGATGGAATGTTGAGCTTTACTGTATAGCCAGTAAAGAATTATGCTGTAGGGAGATGAGTTATCTTCTGATGTGTGGACTTTCACATGAACTTTCCACATCTGAGTAGGGATGTGCACATAGCTTGAAGCTTGGAACAGCTACTTTATGAAATCTTGCTGTCACTGCATGGGTTGATGCTGAGAAAGGTGACACAAAAAGAGGTATTGAGTCTGTGTAGATGGAATATGAACAGAAGTCGTCATGTTACATCACCTTTTTTTAATAGGTGCCTTTGAAATAGAAATAAATGGACAACTGATCTTCTCCAAACTTGAGAATGGAGGATTTCCTTATGAGAAAGACGTGAGTTCTTATTTTTCCCTGCTGTTCCTTGAATCAGTTGTTTTGGAAGAAAGCTTAAATATCTAAGGTAACAGTCAGATTTTAATGTTCTCATGCAAGGTTTCAGAGATGAGCTCAACAACATATTGCAGGGATTTGACTAGTTTTAGTTAAAAAAAAAAATAGGGGAATGCTTAGATGCTGAAAATGATGCTGTCCTCTGCTTTAGAAGCTACAGTCATCCCTGATATTATTTTAAAAATGTTGTGCAGACATGCCAGGAGTAAAATAGTATTTTAAAAATGTGTTCTTAATTCATGGTCTCACCCAGATAAAGTGGGACCACCATTTTAATAGTGTAGCTCACTTCCTCCTAAAGCATACTGTTGTAGGGTTAGATCTAGTTAGCCTCTCCCATGGATGGAATAGCTGTTGTAGATGTGACAGGAAAAAATATGCCCTCTCTCCTCCAGTATCCTCCATTTCTTTCAAACCTGTTCCAGAGAGATGGGAATCCTGTAGAGCAGGTAGGGGGGCACTTCAGGGAGGAGGAAGGAGGGAAGTCACATTGTAGGAGTGAAAATGTGCTCACACAACATGAAATTTGGCCCAGAGTTAAAAATGCTTCACTTTCAAGGTCCATGGGGAAAGAAACTGTGTACAAGAGAATTTTTTTCTGTCCTTGATTTTGCTGTTTATATAGTAAAACACTTCGATATAGTCCTGGCATTTCTTGAAGAGAGAAATTATTTTGCTCAATAACATCAGAGTGTTTTGACAGTTAAGCCTCTTTCACCCAATAACAAACAGAAGTCTTCCGGAAGTGAAAAAAAAAATTCACAGAGCTTGTTTTCTCCTTTTTGTCCCTCTAGCTCATTGAAGCCATTCGGAGGGCGAGCAATGGAGAGCCACTTGAGAAAATCACCAAGAGCCGACCACCTTGTGTCATCCTTTAGTGTGCCTTTCTTCATTTACTCCATGTTCTCTACCTGCCCACCCTCCCTGAATCCTTGCCACTTTTGCCTCCAACTTTTAATTCCATTGCTAGGTCAATGTCAGGACAGGACAGACATTAAAGTAATTTGGGTTGTTTGCAAACAAGTAAAATAAACAAGAACTTAAGCCATATTAGGGAGGTTAACAGGGCTTGTTAAATAAAGCAACCTTTTTCTTGAGGATGTTTACCATGGAATTCCTTTTTCTTATTTTGAGACATTAGTGTGGACTTTGTCTTAAACTGTTGTATTTCTTTTGACTTCATCTGAATGGGCAGGAGTGAAACCTCATATTTCGCCCGTGCTCTTTTCAGAATTAAGATCTCTTGGCTTCTCTGCTTTCAGACCCTTAGCTTCTAATGTTGGCCATTCCCCTGCTCCTTTTCCCACATACTCTTTCACCAGCAGTTAGAATGAGCTGGTATCACAACCTGGCTTCACTATGAGGTCTGCAGGGCTAGAGTAAAGCTTAATAAGAAGTCTATCCCAATGCTCCTGTCTAGATACAAATGATGCTACAGAGAAAGTTTTCAAGGACCTTATATTTCAAGCAACATCCTGGGAATCAGTGTTCCTAAAGGAGTGCTTCAGAATGAAAAACCTCTTGCAGGCCACACTATGTGAACGAGAATCACAGCAGTGCTGCCATCCCACTCCATTGCCAGAAGCAGAGACTAAGTGTTTCCCTAGTTTTATTGTTAAGTTTTGTCTAGATAATGAGGACAGTGTTGCTACCCATGGGAGAGGATCACTTTGAGGCTCATCTCTTTTCTACACCACTCTGGACTTTTGCAGTGTAGGGCCTGAGCTAAATAGTGGTTGGAACTTTCAAATGATCATCCTACTAAGACATCCCCAAACTAGACATGATTTGTTGGGAAAGAAAATAATTCTTTCATACTTATATACTGGGCCAGTTTTACTTTTTCTGAGAACAAGTATGAAATCTAAAGTAATTCAGAGAAGTCCACTTCAAAGTTATTTTATGGGTGACTTATATTTGCAGTTCAATTACATTTTTAAAAACTAAACTTCCTGAATTTTTCAGCCCCCAAATAAGCATTTTCATTGTCCTGTTATTACAAACTTAATTCTCCCATTTCAATCAGTGAGACTTTAAGAGTTCCAGTTGGATCAGAGTGCGTACATGTCCAATTTGAAGTGTTTTCTTGCAAATTACCTATTGTTGCTTAAATAGCAGATCTACATCTGCCATACTAGTAATACAGATTTCATGACATGGCCTTATTGTGGTACTAAGTATTCTCATCGGTACATGTGGCAAACATTGAAACTAGGAGTGAGAAAAACTATGAACTCAGTAACTGCATGTTGCCCAGCTTATTTTGTAGGAATGGAGTAATATACAATTGCATTTGGTTTTAACTTTACTGTCATTTTCACTCTACTATTATGGCTCTATTTTGTCTCAAGACTTCTGATTTTTATGGTCTACTTTCCATTTTGGATCTATGAGTAACTCTAAGAAGTAATTGAAAGTGCTCCTGCTTATTGACATCCTTTGCTGGGGCAGGAGGGTGAAAAGCACCAGTGATGTTCCTGCTCCCAGAGTCTTAATTTATGTGCTCAAATTGTTAAGCCTCTGTTCAATGCAATTTATAATAAAGGGGAAGATACTAAAAAGCTTGCAATAAGTTGTCTGTGTGGTGCTGATGATCAGTCAACTAGGGAAGCTCTTCATATTTGGGAAATAGCATGAAACGAGAGTAAGACTGCTGTTTCTAAGGCATGACGTGGGGCAAGATTCTCAGCTGCATTTAAACTTTTGAAGTTTGGAATGCAGAAAATGTGAATATTAAGATGGTTTGATTTTCTTTAGTTTTTTCCTATCTGTTAAAAGTGGCAGTCTCAATTGCAGGGGTTAGTTTCACCATGAAACGTAATCACAAGATTACCTGTATTTGTTTCTCTTTGTTTGGTTGCGAAGGATCTCCCTGGGTCAGCCCAGCTGAGAGTTCCCTTCCCTGATACTGTGAAAGAGACAGATGGAGAGGGGAAGCCAGTGAGTTGTTCCAAAGAAGGTGGCTAGGTGCCACAATGAAGCCAGACAAATGTGCCACAACTGAGGAAGGATGAGAAGTGAACACAAGTTCACTGTGCTGATAATCTCACTCTGAAAGAAGTATTTTCTGCATGTTCAAAAGTCCAGCTGCCATTTTGCACATGCATGAAGTGAAAAAAACAAAGCCAAAACAATAGTTACATGAATGCTTTTATGCATATAGTGAGGTCTGGTCTCTAATGATCAATACAACATTGGATTGATTTATGCCCATAAATCATAATCCATAAAGAAATCCATCCATCCATCCATCCATCCATCCATCCATCCATCCATCCATCCAGGAACATGCCTTGTTCCTATAGGCCCTTTTTAATTAT